TCTCTCTCTCTCTCTCTCTCTCTCTCTCTCTCTCTCTCTCTCTCTCTCTCTCTCTCTCTCTCTCTCTCTCTCTCTCTCTCTCTCTCTCTCATTCTCTCTCTCTCGCTCTACCTCTGCGCACCTCTTTCTATTTTCCATTGGGTATGCGCGCACGCTTTGCGTTACATTGCTTTATTTTTCTCCTCTGGCGTTGTTTCTTATTCCTACCTTTTGCTGCTTCAGGCGACGACGCGCCCATTCCTGGATCTTTCGCCCCGATCAAAACATCTCTAGTACCGATCCACGACACGAACGTGGGAACAGCGAACAGCGCACCTGCTGCCCCTCTGCGGTGGCCTTGGATGGCCTTAATTTATTCACACAAAGAGGCCGACTGCGGTGGCTCGCTTATCCACCAATGTTTCGTCTTGACTGCCAGACATTGTACTGATAATAGGAATCCAGATCAGCTTACGGTCGTTCTGGGCGAGTACAAGCGCTCCGTGGCCGAGGGAAGGGAACAGGTGCACAACGTGAGTCGCATATACCGACACCCGACGCACGACATCGCCATCTTGGCACTGCAATCGAGTGCGGCGACAAACAGGCACGTACAGGTTGTCGAGTTGTCGAAAGACGAGCCCGAATACGGCTCGGCGGTTGTCGGCGGCTGGGGACAGGTGGAGAGCGACAGGGGTCCGCTGACGTCCCAGACAGCCGACGTACTGCAGTACGTTCACGTACCCGTCGTGCCTCGCGCCTTCTGCAACCTGACCACCACCGTGGACATTTGCGCCGGAGACGCCAGCAGCGGCTCGTACACGAACGCCTGCCACGGTGACTCCGGCGGACCGCTGGTTCAGAAACGCGCCGGTAGATGGCGCCAGATAGGTGTGGTAAGCAGGGGGCCCGCTTCCTGCCCGGCGGCAAGCCGCTATGCGATATATACAAACGTAGCGACGGCTTATAATTGGATCAAACAGACAATACCGAGCATCGAGCGGCAATGGAGAGGCAAGGGATTATTTGGATTGCTTTCAGCGTTTGCATCGAGAAGTGAAGGAAATGACTACAGCATATCGGCGATCTGTTAGTTACTAATTAATATATCAATTCCCGGTGGTTGTTTTCCGAAGTGGACAAAGTGCTCATACAAATACGTGCCACCAAATACATAGTGCGCATATACAATTTCTATTGGTTTTTGAAGTTACATGACTTTACCTGAATCTCTGAAGTTTTTGCAAGGATGCGTATAAAATAATAGAAGGACGTTGGAAGAAAATACATTTACCTACGCTGTTGATACGAGTTAGAACACCGACGTAAGAACGAACGTAAGCACGCATGTGTATATAACGCCTACGCACTGCCGCCACAAACTTGCTTTGGAAGAATAGGGTATAGACTAAATAATGTTATAATGCACTAAAAGTGTCTGTTTCTTCTAGGCTACACCCATAGTTAACTCGTGAATGTATCTATATTCCTTAGATACCGTATATTATGGAATCATCTACCTAAGAACTTCGATTTCAGCAGTCATTGGAATTAGGATTTTAGGAAATATTCGTCTGTTTACAATGAGCTTTCAGACATAGCAATTATGATTTTTATTCATTCATTCCCAGACGACAATTTCATTTGTCTGTAAACTGTTATATGTCATATTTATTCATAATTGTTTCTTTCGGTGTTAATTTTTTGGCGTTTTAGTTTGTCTTTATAATTATTCATTGCATCACGCGTGTGAAAGTATTTCCATGTAACATGAGCAATATAAGTCTACATAATAATATACATACATAATATATCTTATTCATAATCAATTTGTAATATAATTAAGTATTAAAAGATGTGCTTTAGTTTGTTTTCATGCTCTAATCACCATTACTTTCCTATAATGACATTTTTGTTTTTTCTTAATCGTAAACTGTATCTTTTAAACATATAAAAGTTAACAATATCAATTCTTTGAAAAAATAAAAAAAAGGTCTCCGAATACTGCCCACTCCTACTCTGAGGATTTGGCGTACGTAATGATTCCGTTTAATTTCATCATCATTATTCATCATCATCATCATCATCATCATCATCATCATCATCAATTTTTCTATCATTGGAAAACCAATTTATTATGACAAATTTAGGGACTGGAAAGATGATTTCCTGCAATATTCCTGCGATTATCAAGATATAACTAAAACTAGATCAACCAAAAACGAAGTTAACCTATAATAATCGAGTCAATGGTATAAAATCTAGTAAAATTGGTAGAAAGTATAATAGTAGAGTTAGTAAGGGCTTATAAATAATTCTTATAAATATTTATGACTGCACAAATTTCTCACTGCACAAAATATTCACTGCAACGCTACATTCCCTAATTAGATATTGTGTTCAGCTGAAGCTGTGTTAGAATAATTACTGATGGCATTATTATAGCAAATATTTGCTAGTTAAGTTCTCTATATATTTCATATGGCCAGTATTTGCTTTATGATGATTACTGACGCTTCTAGCTGCGAGCGGCTGCTTTACTCTGTAGCGTTATCTGTTCGAGGATATTATATATGAAAATAATTATATAGCTTGCGGAAAGCATTTGGGAAGGCGCTGGCCTTATAACCACAATAGCCCGAACAAGTGATAAACATAACACGGCGCGACGATAGGGAATAGTATATGACTGTCAACATGATTGAATGCCATTCTTTTGCGACACGGAGCTTCCCGCTAAAAAATTATAACATTTTAGATTCAGTGATGGTAGTCACTGGACCCTGAATTAGTAGTCAATATGAACTACCAACATTCATTCACACGATATCTTCTCAATACGACGTGCGCGTGGGTTTGCTCGTTCCTCTTCGGGACTTCCTGTCCTCAACCTCCCGCAGTCCTTACGCATCTCAGGGAGCACATCGCTGGCGCTCCTAGGCCAATCACGTACTGACCTGTTAAGTAGCCATCCGACGTACTCCTGTTCGGAAAAATCTTATGGATTCCCATGGCATGTAGCCGCACCGGCGCAATGTGATCTTCATATTTGGAAATACAAGGTACGATATCATCACGTCGCACGACGAAAATCTTTACGACTTTTACGAGCAGTGCGTCTGAGCTCAACATCAGCCTCAACGTGCACTAAGCCCTCGATCGTATAGTGATTAGTACCTTGCCGTGTGGCGCAATAGCCCAGCGCTTTCGAATCGCTGGTCACGCGCATAGCTACGACCTAGCAATCGGTCCCAAGCTTGGTGCTGCTGATTTTTGTCCGCACAAGTCCCGATAAATTTGATTATAGTTATTTGTATGCGACAAAACGTATAACATAGAAAATGGGCGTAAGTATACACAGTTAGATGATAATACTGTATAGCTTACGTAGGCTATAGTACACCGGAATTAGATTATACTGATAGATTAGACAACTACGTTACTAGAAAGGTAGTGCTAATAAACAGTTAAAAAAGAATCACGTCTGAAATCTAGAGATATCAGCAAATCACCAGATTCGGTGATCCTAACGGCCGACGGCTCAAACATGTACCTAATGTAGATGAAGGTCTGACTAACCTTAGCAGAACGGCAGGCGTACCGGAAGGTACGTACAAAAGTGAAGATCGAGGCGTGATAAGGACGTACCAGGCAATCGTTATCCTAATTTTGTTTACGTTAGCGTACGTTCCCTTTATGACCATTCACTAATTAAGGAAAATAATTATACCCTCAACGTATCTTTTAAAGGCAGGCCGAAGTTATAGTTATGGGCAGACTTGTATCCCGGAGATAGGTGGGACGGAGATAGCGCGTGATAATAGAGGCATACGGGGCCGTATCGGCAAATAATTAAGATACGATCTCAGGTGTTAACTATTAATACTATTTAAGCGAGTTACTTGATGGGTGATCATGTCGATTCTTAGGTCGGTATGCTAGAGTGTGTGGTACCCACTTATGGTATGATTTGTATATGGGATTAAACGGTCACGAGTACATAGGTTAGTAATGCGGCTAGCCCTACACGATACGGCTTAGGAAACACTGACATCGCCGTTCTGTATAGCTAATTATTTTTTTTTTGATACCCCGGGTAAACACACACACTTATACAAGGATTTAATGATACATCGCAGTACAGCATGCAACTAGTAACAGCAGCAAATATAATATAACCGCCTGAGATAGCCCCGAATATACATTTATCGATGTTCAGTCATCTGTGCCCAGCGAAAATCGTAGCCAAGCTCAGATGCCAGCTACTTTAGCCGTGATCGTAATCGTATAGTGGTTAGTACCTTGCGTTGTGGCCGAAATAACCCAGGTTCGAATCCTGGTCACGGCATAGCAATATGTCACGGCATGAGTTTTTGTCACTTCTTTGTTATTTGCCACATGACTGCGCAGTATTGTAAGTGGTTATGCGTTATCAAGTTTACTCAAATTAATATAGATATTCGTAAAAACGCTTAACTCGTTAATCATAATAATAAATGGTAATTAAGTGACCTAAACGCTATACACTCGCTTGGACCATATAGAACCTCACCTCGAACTTATTTAGCACTGTCTCACCAATTCGTGTCACAACGATTCGTATGCGTCTCTGTTCGTTCCTATAAAGTGAATTTTCTTCCATATATTAAAGTAACTTCTCATTAACTTCTGGCGTGCACATGCAAAATTTCATCGCTGTATAGGCAAGTGTTAAGAATAAATTCACAAAGCCAAAACATTTACTCCTGCCGTGACATTGCTACGGAGTGCACTATACGATCACATTGCTACGGAGTGCACTATACGATCACGGCTACTGCAACTTAGCGCGAAGAACGTGTTTTATACATACACACATACGATTGCTGCACTGTTTTACCGATAGATTAGTTTACTTTCACGCCTGACAGAACGGTATGATGAGAGCAGCATGAACTGACAAGCTAGCTAATTCGCCTATCCGTCTAATATAAGTAAGGTAACCACGCCGCCGCCTTGAATATTATTGCTAGGTCGCTAAGCTAGGCGTGTTTGAACTTTGTACGCGTTGTGCGCAAAATTATGGACTCTACGGCACTTCGTTACTGAGCATTGTTTTGTAGAGCGTCCTGACACAACACTATTAGTGCCGCCCGTCAGTCACTCCAGGCTGATTAGTCGATTGAATGATGAGACGCGGGGGTTTCACGTGTGAACGA